CATGTGCCACTCTGCCTTGGAGCCAACCGAGTATGGACTGAGACCTCCACAAACTGTGAGCTAAATACGCCTTCCCTTCCTGAATTCTGGGCATCAAGTATTTTGTCTCAGCAATAAGAGAAAAGTAACCAAGACATACAAGTATAAGATTTAAATTGGATTTAGATCATTCATCCAAAAAGGAAGAGGAGAGGCACAGTGTAGGGACAGATGCAGTTGGCTGTGTGGATGTGGTGATAGGAGCTTATGGAGATTTTCTTTCAGTCATTTCTATGATCTTAGTGAAAAGGGAAACAGGGTCATCAGCTGAGAGGGAGAAATCCAGAAGAGGATTTGGAAATTTATGTTAAAAGAGTTAAATAGTTCCCTAGAAATGTTAAATACTTCTCTAGAAATTAATTGTCCAAACTACCAGAAAATATTAAGAGCCCGCTTGAAGTCATCAGTCAAGTCAGGCCAGTGAGCATGGCTGGGTACTTTTCTCCAGCTTGGTTCCACTTGATAGCTGCAGGCATGGACCAGGCAGATGGAGGCTCCAGGATCCTTAAAGCAAATTACAACAAACCAAGAGGGAAGGGTGAGCAAGGAGAGCATAGGGGTGACTTTAACATCAGGGTCAGCTATTTATGTTGAGTTAGGAAGGATGTGAGATAGAAGGGAAGTGTGGTATACTGTAAATGGAGGATGCCTGGATGGAGTTAAAAATGTGCTCGCATTGGGGAACTGGTGCAGAATGGAATTCTAGGGCTCAAGATCACGGAGGGAAAGCAGCTATTATTAGTGACTTAGGTCCAGAATGCACCCATGGGAGGAAATGGTGGAAGTAGTTTGGAGGTCAAGCTCACTGAAGGAGAGGAAGTCAAGAAACCGAGAAGCCTGGGTACTGGAAGGATTCTACATAACCTGAGAATCACCAAACCTGGAACACATTGGTCTTGAAGAGAATAATGTTGACCCAGGAACTGAATAATCAAGGATTAAGTAAGGAACAATAATATGAGAATAAATAGACGACTACAACAAGGAAGAGTAGGCCATGTATTTTACTTTTTAGATTTTAAGTTTCTATGTTGTTTTAAAACTGTATTTATGATTATTTAGGCATGGCTCTGTCAGCTGATCAATGGTCCTTTTATACTACAACTTCCTCTGTTCTTCTAAAATGTCATTTTTCCTTGTTATCATTGTGACAGAAGTACAACTGATCCTGTCAACAACACCAGTTGCCTAAATTTTAAAACGATATTTCTTCCCAAATGTTTCCTGGAGCACCAGTCCTATGATATATCTGATAACATGGTTAAATATGTTTGAGCAACACCACAAACCAAAGCCACTTTTAGAAAAATCAGTTGTTGGAAATAAATGAGTTTAATTTTAACTTGGTTTTCCTCCCAGATTAATGACCACAGTATCATTTACCATATAATATCAATCAACATCCCAAGGAATGAATATATTCAAAGGCATGGACTTTGGGAAAGACTGTATTAGAGGTATGTCTCTTTGGCATTGTTATGGTTTGTATCTAGATGTCCCCCCAAAGCCTCATGCACTTTTAGATGGGACTTTTTCAGGTAGCTGAACCTAGGGTTTGTGATTGACTTATAATGCAGTGCTGGGATTAAGGGTGCTGGGATTAGGGTGAGGATTGTTGATTAGTCCACTGATTAGATTAATACCACCCTAATCCCAGTAGTCTGGATAAGATAAAAGGGGCAGAAAGAGGCTTGCTTCCCCCTTTTGTTCTTGTTGCTTTTCTTGTCTTCCACTGCCGTGAATGATTGCCCCTCTGCCATACGCCACCCTGCCTTAGAGCCAGCTGATTATGGACTGAAACCTCTACAAACTGTGAGCTAAGTAAACCTTTCCCCCTTTAACTTTGGGTGTCAGGTCGTAGCAATGAGAAAAGTAACTAAGACAGAATTTGATACCAGTGAAATGGGGTCGTTGCTGTGACTATACCTGATCATGTGGTTCTGAAGCCTTTGGGATGGCTTGTGGGAAGAGACCGAAAAGGTTTGGAGATGCTGGTTGAAAAAGTAGAGCTGGAACATCTTAGGCTATTCTATATGGGAAATTCTGGTCAGAGCTCAAAAGACCAGAAGGCTGATACAAATCCTGCTGATAAAGATCAGGCTTAGAAGGTTTCTGCTGGGAAGGACTGCATTGGCCGTTGGACTCCAGACAGTGTGTGTTATGACTTGGCAGAAAGTTTGTCTGCATTTTTCTCATGTCCAGAGACTTTGCCTGAGGCTGAGATTAAGGGTGGCAGACTAATGAATCCAGCACAAGAAATTTCAAGGCAGTCTAATGTTGAAGTGGTGGCATGGCTACTGTTGGGGGCTTTTTGCCAGATCTATGTTGAAAATCAAGAGCAAAGGACCCAGCAGAATGATTTAGAACACTGTGAATTTGACCAGAAAGGAAGCTCCAGTAAAGTAGTGGACTACAAAGATAGAGCAAAGGAGATTTTGATTGCTGAAAAGGAAAAACAAAAAAGATGGCCTGAGGGCATCATAAGAAGGAGCAGGACTCCATCCTTTGCAGTCTCAAAATCGCAGAAGTGAAAGACTCTGCTTTAAGAAGAAAGCCCTAGAGCATCATGTTGCAGAGTGGCAGCAGCCTAGAGAATTTGTTCCTTGGAACTAGATTCAGAGTGCTCAGTGGTCCAGGTACTTGACCTCTAGAGCCAAGGGAGAGAAAAGCCTGGTACTGCTCCAGCTGGCAGCAGACCTTGGCATCATCTATGTGATGTGGTTTTAGGTACATACACAATGCAAGAGTTGTGGGGTTAAGAAGGCTTCCACCCAGATTTCAGAAGGCCTGGGAGGCCAGGCAGTGTGCCCCTGAGAGGGCAGTATATGAAGCCAAAAGAGCAGTTGAGACCCCAGAAGTTTAGAGAAGCCAGGTACATGGGTCGTCTGAGGAAAACTGCAAGGAGTAGGCAAAGCAGGGCCAAGAAAAAAGCCATGGGAGCTACAACCACCAGCAGTGCCAAAGGGACAGAGCCACCCAAGCCTTTTGAAGTTTACAACCTGCCACAGATTTCCTCAGATGCTGCACATAGAAATATAGGACTTAATGTTTACCCTGCTGGATTATGGACTTGCTTTGGTCCCATTCCTTTGTATCCCTGCCTGTACCTTTTAGAATTGAAATGTTTATTTTGTGCCACTGAATGTGGGAAGTGTTTAACTTCCTTTTCATTTGTACAGGGGCTCACAGCTAAGAGTTTGCCTTAAATCTCACAGCAGACTTGGAGCTTGGACTTTTCAGCAATGCTGAATCTGTTAGGACTTTGGCAATTCTGGGAGATGGTCTAAATGCCTTTTGCATAAAGGGATGTGCATGAGTCTTTGGGGGCCAGGGTGGGATGTTATAGTTTGTGTCTACATGTCCCCTCAAAGCCTCATGTACTTCTAGATGGGGCTTTTTCAGAGGTAGCTGAATCTAGAGTTTTGTGATGGATTCATAGTGCAATGCTGGGATTATGAGTGAGTGATTGCTGTATTAGTTCACTGATTGGATTGGCACTGCCCTAAACCAGCAGTCTGTACAAGATAAAAAAGACAGGAGGCTTGTTTCCCCCTTTTGCTCTTTGTGCTTTTGCTGTCTTCTGCCACCATGAATGGTTGCTCCTCAGTCACACCACTCTACCTTAAAGCCAGCTGATTATGGATGGAAACCTCCACAAACTGTGAGCTAAATAAACCTTTCCCCCTTTAACTTCGGGTGTTGGGTAGACAAGAAGTCCCAAAATAGGTGAAACAGAACCTGCTAGAACAAGATTCAGGGTATATATTGAAGAACTGTCAGAGAATGCAAAGGTTCATTAAATTACTTTGTAAAAGTAGTCCCTTGTATTGCTAAAATGATGAAAAACAGCCATCTTCAAACAGTGAAAGTTCTTAAAGATGTCTTTAAATTGGTTTTGCATATGTCAATCCCTCTGTACCTGTCATGGCTTGTATTTAGATGTCCCCTCAAAGTCTCATGCTTTCATAGGTAGGACTTTTCAGAGGTGGCTAGATTCAGGGTGCATGCTACTGAGATCAAGAATGTGATGGGAGGATTGATTTGTAGTGCAAAGCTAGGATTAAGGGTTCCCCACCCTTGTGTGAGTGCTACTCCGTAAGGGTGGGTAGCCTGGGAAAGGTATAAAGGACAGAAAGAATGTGTGAGTGCTACTCCGTAAGGGTGGGTAGCCTGGGAAAGGTATAAAGGACAGAAAGAATGTTACTGTTTGTGAGTTGCTGCTTACTTCCTTGCTAGTTTGTTGCTTTACTGTCTTCCCGCCTTCTGCTCACCATGAACTGTTTTTCCTCACGATGCCTCTCTGCCATGCCACCCTGCCTTGGAGCCAGCCAACTATGAACTGAAACCTCTACAAACTGTGGGCTACAGTAAACCTTTTATCCTTTAACTTTGGGTGTTGGATATTTTGTCTCAGCAATGAGAAAAGTGACTAAGACAGCATCAAAATCAAAGACGCTACGAAGATCATTTGGGTGAAGACTGTGATAGCTAACAGAATGGGAGCAGATAAAACCTGAGCTCCGTAGGTGGCCCTTCGTCCTCACCTAGAATAACTCCAGAAGAATGTCACTCAACAAACAGATATCACTGAGCATAGTGGCACACACCTATAATCCCAGAGTTTAAGAGGCTGAGGCAGGAGGACTGCTGAGTTTGAGGCCAGCCTGGGCTACATGAATTCAAGGTCAGCATAAACTATATAGTGAGACCCTGTCCCCAAAAAAACAAAAACAAAAAAGAAAGTTTGGGGTGGCCAAAGTTGGGGTGGCCAAACTTTTTCCAAATAACTATTACCTACTAGTGTCAGAAAAGTGAAGTAGATCTTAATGCAACAATATAAGAGCCAAATAACAAAGTTTTACTCCACTTGTTGCTCCAGCCTGGCCCCTTCAAATGTACTATGTGATTAGAGAAGACAAAGTTCTGGGAGGAAGGATAAAAAAACTGAGATGTCAACTTACAAAGGCCAATGGCACGGTGCATGAATCAGGCAGGGATGATCTGAAAACAAACAAAAATGATCAATTAGTTTTATACAGAAGCTGCACATTCATCTGTTAATTGTAATTTTAAGATTGGTATAGAGTCATATGCAGTTTTAAGAGAGCTTTTATTCACTTTCCCCAACAGCAATATTTTGTAAAACTACAACATAGCCAGTATATTATATTAACACAACTCACACATCTTTTGAGATCTCTCAGCTTGTCTACGTGTATTTTGCTCTATACAATTTTTACCTCATGTAGAGGCTCACATCTACAACACCACAGCCAAATTACTGAACAGCTGCATAGCCATGAGGGTCCCTCATGCTGCTCCAACCACGTGCCCAGCCCCTCACCACTATCCCTTTGGGTCACTGATCCCATGGCCTCCATCTTTAACATTAAAATAGTAACATGCATTTATACACATTTTACTCATAGCCCATAAGAGACTACTACTGAGCTGTATACCACTATGAATAAAGAATTCTGCTTCGCTGCACTAAAGACTCTGCCTCAGGTGAAGGAACAAATTTTTCTAAAAAAGAAGTTTCTTCTCATTGTTATCATAGCTTTGACCATTCTCTTCAAAAATCAGAAGGTGAAAGGAGAGACATCTCGATGTGCTGTCTGAACTCACACTATATTTTCGATATTTCTGCAGCAAGAAATCTGTCAGCACTTACTGTGGGACAACTAACATATTTTATATACATTTAACCCTCATAACCCTCTGATACGTATCGCACTATCATCTTTGCTTGATCCAGGGGGAAAAAAGTCACTGAGATGTTTACTAAGTTACTTAGTCACACAAGCAGCAAAGGGCAGATTGCAGCACCTGGGAACAGATTTTTAGCATCTAGAAGAATCTACACCTCAAGAAAACCAATAAAAATGAAATCAAGCTATTTTTGTTATTACCACAAATCAACTTCACTTTAATATACAGAAATTAAATAAGGGAAACACCCAAAACAATGATTAGCAAAATGGAAAATATTCAAACATGAAATGATGGAAGACTGTCAAAAGCAGAAAGAATGGAGCACGCCAGCAGCACTGTGCTACAGCAATAGACAGCTCATCAGCCCTGAATTGCGAGGATTCAATATACGCTGCAGACTATCAGGTGGCAGTTTACACAGAGCTGTGATTACTCCTGAAAAAATGTATTCAACTGGGCAAAGATTACAATTGGAAAACTGGAATTTTCAGTAGCAGATAAAAGCCGCACAAAATTAGGTCCCTTACTCAACAGTCATCTAAAGGTCCAGAGAGAATGTCCAGATAATAACAACAGACATCTATCGTGAGGAACATTCTGTGGGTCTATTAGCTTAATGATAGAGCATTATTACTGAGGATTAGTTAATATTTTTTCCATGAAGCCATGTAACGCATTTATGATTAGCTGTGGCATTTCTACCAATCACTCAACAATGCTCAAAAGGTGCCTGTTCGGTGAGCCGTCGATGTGCTGCCCCAGCACTCTGGCTAGGCTTTCTTCACAGTGCTAATTTCATAGACATCTCCCAGCTGACCTAAGGTCAGGAGGTAGACAGAGCAGATAACACATTATTAGCGTTGCTTGGTGTCCATACAACAGAGTTATACATAGGAACTACGGAAATGGAGCTCTGAAGCTCCTCTTCCATGGGAAGCCACATACTAAGCATCATTCTTGACTCTCAGGGATGAAATAAACTCATTATATCATTAACATGTAAACGTATCAAAACTTTAAAATGCCCCTAGAGTATGTGATGTCTTCACAATTTTTTAATTTGTTGTAACTACACTGCATAATCTCTCCTACCTACTCAGAACTCACACTCTCTTAAGGACGGGAAAGTGGAGGGTGAAAGTGAAGGTATCCAGTTCTGCCTTTACAGACAACACCCCATGGTACCTGCTCACTCGTTGAGAAGAAAGGCATTGAGGTTGGCCCAGAATGGCGGCCTTGGGGACCCTGGACACAGCTCCTCTTTCAGTGATACCTAAACCCCATGTATTTATAAGCATCATAATTTCAGGAATGCTCTTGTCTTCTTGCATAAGGCAGGTGGCAAACCATCTTTTCTAACACTCTGTCTCTAAAAAATGGGACAAAATAGATTTCAAAGTTCTAAGAGAAGAAAAACTGGAATTCCTGCATCAGTTACATTTATGTCTAATTCTTTTCACAGGGAGACACATACGTAGTACCTTGTCTTCAATTTCACATGGTTTGTTTCTCTTGTCGCTCTAAAAGCATGTTCTTTGTTTAGAATAGTCTTTCTCCACACAGAGAACATAAGAGCTCAGAACTTCTTTTCCCTTTCCCAAGGGCATTCTCCCCAGAGGCCTTGGTAAGCAATGGCGACAATGCTTACACTCTAGGTCCTTCTTGCTCTATTGCTAACAGTCACCCGATGACATCACAGTATAAGCACAGTACCTGTGTGGCTCTTCATTTTAAAACTTTCTACAAAATTAACTGAATTTTCATGTTTGTTTTGTTTGTATATCCTCACAATGTTTTTGTCACTGTTTTTTTTTTTTTTTTTTTCCTTTTTCTTTTGTCTGGTGCAAGGGGTTGAATCCAGGGCCTCATACATGCTAGTCAAGTACTCTACCATTGAGCTAACTCCCCAGCCTCCTGTACATTTTTATTTTGGGATACAGTGTCACTGAATTTTCAGACTTATAATCCTCCTGCCTCTGCCTCCTGTTCAGTTGTGATGACATGCATGTGCCATCATGCCCAGTCCACCGTTTTCCCTAAACTGTTAAACTCTTGGAGGACAGGAGCCATATCTATAAAACTAAGTTTACAAAGAACAGTGAGCCTTGTACATACGTCCCACAAATGCCTTTGGTAGTGAGGATCACAATCACCATAACAATAATAGTGGGTTCGCTCAACTTAACCACAAGTTCTGGTTTCCATCAACCTGGGCCATGATGTGAGGGAGTAACTGAGACCTTAACTGAGAAGCAGGGCCCCACATCAGAGGCTCCCGTGGGCACTTTCCTTTGAATTCTGTTATCTGCCAGGAAGATAAGGGCCTTTATTCATTCTCCTCAACACATTTTCAAATTCTAGGACATAAAAAACTAACCATGTCAGTCTTAGTCATTTCAGGCTGCAATAACAAAGGACCACAGACAGGCTGACAGCTCCGCAGGGTGGGAGTCTGAGACACTGTACTGCCAGGGTCACATTCTGATGAGGACCCTCTCCTGGGTGGCAGATTGTAGGCTTCCATGTGTCCTCACACAGAGCAAGAGAGCTCCTGGCCTCTTCTAATAAGGGCACTAACACCACTTGGGAGGGCTCCACCCTCAGGATCTAATTGCTTACCACATGTCCACCACAGAATGGCAGCACGAAGCCCAGCATGTCGACATATCACTTTTGAGGGGACCCAAACATTGACAGGTGTCTTTGGGGTGTACAGCCCTCTGCTCTCCCAGCTGCTCTATCGAAGGGTGCACTGGACCCAAACATTCAGTCCTCTGAGATGGTCTTACGTACAGATGAAGGTATTCTGGCAGTTTCAACATACCCCATAGTCTGCACAATTTTACATCAAAAATACCACACTAATTCAGCCAGTGAAGACCCACTTGGGTTCTAGAGCCTGCCCAACCGCTGTGGCATTTCCTCACTCCATGTTAAGTCTGGCCTGGGCCTTAGTTTCCGGTCGCCCTCCCCACCCCCAACCCTCAGACCCAGGTCCCTGTCTCTGCTGACATCCTTGCCTCATGCTTCACTGAGAAAGTAGCAGCACTGGATAAGCATCTCATCCTTCCAGCTCTAAACCCACCAAGTCCTTACACCCACAGGAGGATGCACCCCTTGTAGAACCAGAGACCAATCCCATCTCTCACCTCAAAATATCTTCTACTTTATCATCCTCGCTCGTTCTACTGGAGATACTCACCCCAATGTACAATCATGCTCTGGTATTTCCAAATTTAAAAAAGAAATGCATTACCCTCCAATTGCCCCGGCTCCTACTTCATCCACACCCTCTCACTCAAACTTCTGAGCAGACCTGAAAAATTAGACAATCTGCATCTCTTCAGGCCCACTTGTGTTCCAACCCATTCCCTTGGCTGTTATCTTAACCCTCTATCAAAGGATCTTTATCAAGGTCGCCAAAGCAATTCTGAGTATCCTCATTTTTAAAATCAGGACACAGAGGCTCAAGAGAGAGATTACTGGGTTGAGATAGTAAAAAGAAACCTTCCCTTAGAGATACACAGAAGCTAGGGCTGCCTCAAAGTGTTCCTTCCCAGACATCAGACCAAGGACTTCATCTTCCAGGGACTCTATGTCCTTCCTTGCTTATATCAGCCCCTCTGCATTAACTCACAGACCTCCTCCTTGGAATATCACTGATTTCCATTACTTTCAATTGAGAAAAGCTCTCTATTTGCCTGTGAATGTTTTCTGTGTTGAGCTCTTAGTGTAAATTATTTAATTGTCTCAACAACTTGAGGATGGGTGGTTTTAATCCCTGTATCCAATCTTGGCTGAAAGGAAATAAATTTTCTAATTTCCTTTCCTAATAAGCCACATTAATAAACAGGACAGCAAACATTTGACTTCTGACCACAGCTGGAGTCCTCAGTCAGCTGCCTGTCCTTCGGGATGGGGATGCCTCCTTGCTTCTTGGTTGTTCTCATTAGGTGGTGACACGATAGGGGCAGCACTCAGAGATGTGTCTCGGTTCCATCATCTCATGGGGTCAGAAAAACTAGAACTGATGCAAATTTGCTATGGGCAAATGTATCAGAAACTGATTTTTAAGGGCCAGGGATATAGCTCAGCGGCATAAGCACCTGCTTGGCAAGAGCAAGATACTGAGTTCGATTCCTGGTACCAAAAAAAAAAAAAGAAGAAATTGATTTTTATGTAATGGGACTCTATGAAAATTTCAATTGTCAGAATATGACACTCAGCTTTGGTGATTGGAGCATTTTCCCTCCTCCTTCTACCTCAGGGGCTGGCTTAATAAGCAT